TACATCTGAAAATATTTTTCTTAACCAAAGAAAACTAGTAGCTTTATATTTAACAAAGTTATTTTAAATCAGTCTTCATCAACTTACTTTCCCGTTCTTGATTTCTTCCCGAGCCAGCTGCACCACCCTCTTCACTTTAGATGCTATGCAAAGGTACTTGAAAAACCTCTGATGAGCTGACCAAAACTGACCCCACATAGACTTCTTCATTCGTTGTTCTGCATCAATAAGGTCGGCTGCTTGCTGGAATCTCTCTCTAGCACTCACCCACTGAAGAAAAAAAAAAGTTATTTGCTTTATATATATATATATCACATTTCAAGGTGACACAAGTACATTGTTTTAATATCCAAATAAAAACAAAAGAGAAGTTTAAAGCTCAAAATAAAAAGAAAATAGCTATGGTTTAGTAAATTCAGAAGAGGATTCTCTCAGAATGAAAAGCAGATACAGTAACATCACTTCCAATGCAGACATACACAGTGTTTTCCAATAATCTAGCTTCTCCATTACTCCATCCAGGTTTAGAAAGCAAAGAACACTGCCCATGATTAAGTGTAAAGCAGGAGCCCAAAAAGAGAAAATCCCCACTGCCTTGGTTTCTACATCATTTTGTTATACCAGTTGTTTCCAGACAGAGGTGAATTTGGACACAAATTTAGTGATGCTTTTAAACAGCATTGAAGTGCTGTTTTAAAGTTGATGTTATACACCTGACAAAGATAAATTTTAATTATTGTAGTTATACAACATGAACACAGAGTCACACTTAAACCCCTCTTAAGCAGGTAAAGACTCATGTCATTTTAATCTATGTTCAAGCAGTAATTATTTTTATCTATCACAGCAGTGCTCATGTAAAAGCAGAACATGCACTCCAGAGAGATGCAGCATATGGACAAACCAGTTAAGAACAACATAAAAAAGACAACGAGGGTGAATAAATGAAAACATTAATGGGGACCACAGCTTTGATGCTTTAAATCTGATCTGCCATGGGATTGGAACTTTCACCCTGCATTGTTTAACTCCAAACACAGCTCCACTGCTCTGCTCCAAGGAAGAAATGCAAGCAGCCTGTCTTAAGGTTTTGCAGCTTGTTCTCAGCTCGGAGCACCAACATCTGACCAGCAGGGGAACAGCTTCATCTTGGCCAAGAATGACCAAGCTCTCTGAATTACTGCTAGAAGTCAGTGGATCTGGCAGATACTGGAGGATTCACCCAAACCTGCAGATTTTATGACTCAGAACAAAAGTTAAAAACTTTTGCCAAGTCTTAAGTAGAGAAGTCTTTACACTAAGATGAGAGAAAAAGATGTCATCCCTGTCTGTTTCAGGAACATTCAAGTTTAAATCCAGTAACTTCAACCTCTCAGAACTCAAGACAGAAAGCAACTTTTAAAAGGCATCCTTACCAGTTTCACGGATTTATTGTACATCTTAACATACTCCTGTGAAAGCAGAACTTCATCGATTTTGAAAGTTACACCTGAAAAACTCAGCTGTCTTGCTATGTACATTCCTCTCAGCTTCATATCCATAGCAACTATTTCCATGGCACCAACACCTCTAAAGTAAAAGAACAAATTAAGTCAATATTAGAATTTTAAAGAGCAAAGATTTATTTAAAAACACCCAAACTCACAGCACTTTTGAAGAAAACAGTATGCTTACAAATCTGAAGTAAAGTTTTGAAATCATTAGTGCCATTTCTTTAAACACATCTGATCAGAGGGTCTTGAAATTTAGCCTTTAAATAAAACTACATCCCTGCCTCATGAGTATTAAGTCCATCCCAAGAGGTAACAACACTCAAATAGTTACTTGTTCCCAAATGGCCCAGCATGTATTAGGGGACAGGACCTTGCAAATTGTAATTGGATAATGAAGTTGATCCAAATATACAACAATCTTGCACTGCAACTTTACAAACTCCACTGAAGATTTAAAATACTGAATACCAAGTGTATTAAGCCATTCAGATTTATGCTGGTATGAAAATAAACTAGAAGGCAATGAGTTCTCTTCAACAGCAACAGACCTTTAGCAATACCTCAAAAGCACTGAAGTCAACTGCAAAGGTAAACTACTCAAAGCTGTGGCCTGTAATTTCATTATTGCTCATTTGATACTACTCAGGAATGAAGTGGAGACTACTTGCACAGCCTAGAAAAATCATGCCTCATGTAGATGGTATGCAAGAAGATGCACAAACCCTACTGTACCATTCTGAAGTGTGGAAAATTCTTTTTAAGCAGGCAAAGCATAATATTAAGAAGCTCACCTACCAGGGAATGTAGCAGTTGTATTTTCTCCTGACCTCTGACATTTAGTCTTTTCACTAAGTTCTGAAATACGAACTAACTTGGAACACTATTAATTTTTCTGAACTGGGTTCTTATGCCAGAATGGATAAGAACAAAGCCTCTTCCTGTTAAACTGCCTCAGCTGAATGCATAAACATTACAGGGCTTCTGCATATAGCAAGATGTCAACTACAGTGAGCATACTAAGGACAGAGTGTGTTTTCATGATGAGCAGCAAAATATTTTCATTTCGTAACACTGGCATTTTAGGAGGGCTATTTCCCCTGCAAGCTTCCAAAGCTCTCAAAATTCTCTGTGAGGAAAATGTCCCATTTTTCACCACATAAGATAGCTGACATTTTTGCTAGATTTAGAAGCTAGAGTCAGCAAGCTCTTAGTGTAACAGGACAAGTTTGCAGAGGACCAAGTGAGCAAAGGCACCGGAAAGCACAGTCAACCACAACCACATGTGATCCTGCTGTAGCTCTTCAGAAATGTTACCTCCTTTCAACAGCTTGAATAAAATCACTGAATTCCCTGAAGGGAGTTCCTTCACCCCATATTCCAAGACGGTTCATATACGCCATGTTTCTTGGCTCAGATGCACCTAGGAGAAAAACACACTCTGTACCAGTGCCAGTAAACACATACGAGGACTTTTAATGCAGACCAAGTCATACATACCTGTGGCACTAGCATAAACAACCCTGGCTTTTGGAAGTTTATTCTGAAGTTCTAGTACAGCCAGACCTGTTTTTGTTGGTTTTGATGAACCAACAGGACACAGATTCTTAGCTTTATGACACTCATCAAATACAATCTGAACTGTAATTAAGGAAAACTGTCCCACTTATTTTTAAAAGGGGGAAGTAAAAGAGAAGACAGTAAAATATGCTAATTACACTAAGTAGCAGCAGTAAATTGTAAACTCAAAAGGATGTCAGTCATTTTTCACCAAAAACTGCAAAAAATATTTAGCTAGTAAGTATTTAAGAGTAAAATTACCAACAATTGAGTTCTTAAAATTTTTTTGAGTACTGACAGCATTTTAAAGAATTTAATGCAGAAAATGTCAGTGTAGACTTAAGGTTTATAAACATCCTATTTCAATTTCTTGTGTTTATTCTAGAAAAAGCAGAAGCATCCCTCCTGTACCAGAGTTTTGTGGCAAGAATATGATGGCAATAGATTTGGCATTAATTTTCTGAAACTTCTCAGTCTAATGTCAGAGCATGTAAAGAAATTACTATTGTCACAAATAGAGAACAATACCTAAAATACCAGCAAATAAAAATATAAGATTGTCTTTCAAGATGTAAGCTTAAATAGCCATTTGGTTGCAATCAACTCAACTCCAGATAAAGGATACAACTCCATCAAAGTCTTCACCACACCAGTGAAGAAGCTGCTTTAATCTGGTTTTGTATTTCCCACCAGACTGACTTTCACCAATAAGAGAAGAATAGGTAGCAAAGATGACACCTTTCTTCACACTGCCATTATGTTTGGAAGAAATTTTTCCATACTTGAACTACAATAAAAAGATAAGAAATTACAGAAATTATTCCAAAGAGATCCCTCCTCAAACCCACCTACCATATGAATAAGGGATGCTGGTGGTCTTCACCTTGAGGTGTGTACACTTGGAACCACCAGTGTCCCTACATCATGATTAGGGATATGGCACATGGGAACATGGACATGGCTTTATACTTAAAATATACACTTAAGGATGACTAGATCTGAGGCCTCAAGATTTTTGTCTACATGGTTTCCTTAACTGAAACTAAGATTTTAGCTTCAGTGCATCCCTTAGAGCTAACAGGTCAAGTGTGTTTACAGCTGCTACCATAAGTGACAATTTTTAGAGCTTTACTGTATTTTAGAAATTAAGACTTCACAAAGCAAAGATACCAACTTAAACCAAACTAAGTTCAATGCATTCAACCAGTAATCACACTTCACTGTAACTGAAATATAACTGCACACACTGCTGCTGCTTTAACAAATTACTGAGGAAATCTACTTTTCAAGTATTAAATACAAAAGGTATTAGATATAACGTGTGCTGGGAGATAAAGGAAGAAATTCAGATGCTACAAAGTTTAAAAGGCTTAAAGAATATTTAAACTTCCAGAAAATACCCTACTAGTAGTGTCAGTAGTGGCCTGAAGAGCAATGTTTTTAAAAAAATATCACATGCTAAAACTTAATCCTAACAAGAGGCCTATTCACACAATTAATTTAAAGCACTGTGTGGTTCTTCATAAGATTAAGGCCTGTCAAACAAGACTCAGACAGCAAATTTACTGAAATTAGTACATTCTTGCTCTTAAGAGTCAACATGCACAACTTGCCACACAAGCGTACCTAAAGTTTTGCCTCACCAGTACATAGTAAAAAGTTTCCACACCTTGTTTAATGAATGAACCAATATGTTTTTTGCTCCAATATCTCTCAAATCTCTTTCAGCATCGTATTTCAGATCATTTGACACACTAAACCTGAAGATACAAAACAAAGCAAATATTCTGTAAGTTACAGGACAAGTTCAAAAAGCAGCTGCTAGAATATTTGTCACAAAAACAAATTACACTGAATTTAAGTACTACAGTCACTGCAGTGTCTGCTCTAACAAATCCTGACACACTTACCAGACTGCTCTTTTTCTGCCTAACAAGTAATTTTCATAGATTATTCCAGCTATGGTCCTTCCTTTTCCTACACCAGCACCATCACCTATTAAGAATCCAGCTCTGTCTCCATTGGGCAGGAATGTTTCATGTTGCTGTAGGAGAGAGAACAAAAAAACTTGTACCCATTCTCCAGAACACATCACTGTTGATTGTCAGAAATGAGCAAACATAAGAAACATCCTATGGGATGAGACTGGTGGCCCACCCAGCCAAGCAGCTCCCTGACAGAAGGAAGAGGGGGTTTTACTTAGGGAGAGCATATGAGTCTAACTGCTTCATGTGATCCACTTAGCACCAAGAGTTGCTGTAAAATCACTGCACTGATCTATCTAATTCTTCTAGTGCCTACTACCAGACTGGCTGCTCTTTTTAACCCACTGACAGGCAAGACCCAGACATCCAATGCTTGTGTAAGCAAGTATTCTTCTATCCATTTTAAACCAATCTCCTATCAGCTTCACCAAGTTCTGCTGCTTGTTTTGGGGGATTCCACTGCTCTCTTGATCATGTAAACATCAATTTCACTCCCCTTCACCTCTCTCTTCTCCAGCTCAAAGAATCCCAGCCTTGTCAGCCTGTTCAGGAGGCAACTTCTTGCCTCCTGTGACCGTTTTAAGTTGTCCTCTAAATTTACTGCTTTCTTCCCTGACATGCAAAAAGCTGCACACACATCATCTGATGTGGGCTGGCTGAACAGAGCAGCAAAATAACCAATAGTCTTGCACCCTATACCCTTGCCCATGATGCCAAATAGTGTTGGCTTTCTTAGCCAGCTGCAACAGCAGCCACTAAGTTATTTCAGAGAAATGAAAATGACAACTAAGATGTCCTTCTTCCCAAATTTTCAGTTTAAGATCAGCATCATGGATGTGGTCTGGACAAAGATTTCCTAGGTGTATTACCTCACATTTCTCTGAAGTTCACCTGTCACCTGCTAATGCAACTGAACCCTTTAAGCTCTTACTGTTATCTCCTCGCAAAACTGACCTAGCTGTGCCTCCCAGAGTGCTTTTTCTTCTTAAATTCTATGTTAGCTTATGCTGTGCTAACATCTAGCATACCTGGGCTGCATAAGTGATTGCTTCGAGTTGCAGAGCTGACAACCAGCCACTATCAATGGTTTCTTCTGATATTGATGTCTGGTACCACACATCAGGAGGAGTTACACTGGATAATGAGCTGGTTTCCACTACTGGGTCAGGATGACGTAGACCAATTTTTACTGGTTGAAAAGGGAGGGGCAAGAAGGGAAGGGAGTAGATGAAAACATTCCAACAGTATATCAAGTGTTAAACAAACTGCATTGCATACAATGGAATACACTGAATTGAATTTATAGAACAGAGGTCTTAACTCTGCTCCTCTTCTCACCATTCAATTTTTAGGAAGTTAGCTAAATTCAGTTCACAGAAAATTAAAAGATTTGTGTACTTGACATGCTTGAAAAAAAAAAAACTGGTCTGAACCTCCCTTGCCTTCCCAAAAGGCCAGAGGCAGCCTTAAGATGCCAGAATCACAAAAGCAACATTCTTCTCATTATTTATATAGGGCTGTTATTAAGCAGTATGAGAGAAGATTTAGAACAGACATGGTTTAACTGATGACAGATCTCAGTGACAACAAAATTTAACCATTTAGCTACAAAGTCCATGCAAAATTTTTTGCCTTGCTTTTACAGCAGGTCAGCAATGTACCTAGGAAACAAGATAATAGCTGTTTCTAACTCATTACAACAAAGGAGAAAGAGTAGGGGGAAAAAGAGATGGCAATTAACAACAGTAAAAGATTTACTTTTTTTAAAAATAAAAAGAGGCAGCTCTAAAGTCAGTCAGGAACAATGCAGAAAGAATGTGCTCAGGGTAACTTCACACCAAGTGACTCAGACTAGATTCTCAAGTGTAGCAATGACCACTTAACCCCTTGACAGAATTTCCACTGTTAAGGCACAAAACGTCTCAATACAAGAAGTGCCTGATCTCAGTTCTTCAACCATATTTCCAAAACAAGGACTGCTCAAAGATACATTAAAGAATTCCCTTTGTACTTAAATACCTTCCAAAACTAAGCGCTAAAGAGAAAACTTTTCTGCAAAAAAACACCACAGATTCAGATCCTTTCCACATGATACAGATACTAGTAACTTTAGTTTTGCTGTTAGTAACTACAGAAAAGTAAAAACAAATCAGTTCTCAAGACATTTCAGCCTTTTGATGTAACAAAACATTAAGTCATACATTTTATTGGCATATACTCAGCGTAAGTTTCTGCATGGCCCATTTCTTCTTCATCTTCTTCCTCAGGTTCCTCCTCTTCTTTCACTGCTGGCACTTTCTAGAATTGAGAAATGACCTGCATTAGTCAAACAGCACATTGTCAATACCCTATGTCCTGTAAATTAATGGGAGAAATGAAACAGCACAAACTTGCACCTGAATGTTTTGGCATGTGTGCTGGATGAACCAGCTGGGAAAACTACAGACAGAAATTTGGATTTTTTGCACCCTGAATGACTCTTCAAAGACAAAGTTGGGAGCTCTTTTCCTTTGCAAGGAGATTCAAGTACTCCAAACTCACATAAGCAGAATTAAAAAAGAAAATTCTTACAGCATATTAAATTCGAACTATGACTTAAAAGGAAACTGCCTTGAAAACATAACTAGTTAAGGGCCAAAACATAACAATCAAGTACTCCCATAAAGTCTTCTGCAGTTTCACATTCATTACATCATTCCAAAGCTTTGGGGAGCTGTTACAATAGTCACAGCTCTGAAATACAACAGTTATCCACTTCTGACTGATTCTGGATCAATGTATACATGTATGAATATTTTTGAAGTACACACTACATGACAAATCAGAAACCTTCCACAATTACTTTTTTCTATATTAAACATTAAATTAGCAATCTGAAAAAAATGATTGTGTGCCAGTCACTAAGGAGCACTGTTTATCACAAACCAGCCTGATTTTAGCCATCAGTGAAGATGATGAAACTCAAGAGTGTTTACAGCATAAGAATCTATTTTTATTACATTTAGAAAATTGAATGATACTCAATTTACTTCTTCAAATCAAATTGTCCAGAAGGTCAGACACACTAGAGAAATTCTTCCACTTTCCTTATTGCTAGTTATACATATAAGGATATTTTAAAAGGAAATGTCTTGAAACACAGAGCAAGCAATATGCTTATCAGCTTTAATTGGAGCACACCCTTCTCTGTCCACACAGTGAGGTTCTGTCAAGAACAGCAATTTCTTGAAATTGTCATTTACTACATAGTCTGCTCCACACAGCTGTTAGTTTTAGTCATCTAACCAGGTATTCATCTGGTGGAGAAACTAACCTTTTGAGCAAACAGATGCACTCAGTAATTCTACCACAAAAGGCCTATATGAGTAACTCCTGAAACTAGTCACAGGTGGTTGTGGCAAACAGAGCACCACTCTTGGCAAGTTAACCATTTGCACTACTTACCATAGTAGGTGAAAAACTTCTCATTTTAATATCATTTATCCATATTCTTGCTACTTCTTTTGTGGAAGCCTCCTTCTTCACTGCACCATTGCTTATATCAGCTACAACAGAGAAGCTGTGTTTACAAGAATTTCCTCCAAATGAACTCAAATTAACATCCTCCTTTATTAATGAGGTGGAAAGGAAGTTTAAAATGTCCAGTAGCACACTGATGCTTCTACAATGACAATCAATACTTCTGTCCACATTAAAGGCTGAGCAAGGAGTTAAATCCTATTAACTTCCCTGACTGAAAACTTTCCATGCAATACTACATCTGACACAGTTACGTATTAGTTTCAATATTTAAAAATATTAAAACACCCTGGACTTTCACCAAATCTGTAAATGATATTTTAAAACACTCTGTCTTGTGAGCCTTTGAAGTTTAACAACAAACCAGAAAGCCCAGTGTTTCAACAGGATAGAACTCACCTGGTGTGGTGGCATTTACCACCTTAGGAAAAACTAGAATTATTTCTGTAAAACAGAAAGGCAACACTTTTAACTCAACTGTTTGAAGTTTGTAACAGGATCCTTCAAAAGAGCAGTTTATTAGCTTCTCTGTCCTCAGCCACATTTGGAAGCAACTGGCAATAGGATTTACTACAGAATTAAAATTCACACCAGGATAGATGTAAACACTGAAAGCAGCTGAAGAAGTTGCCCGTCTGCTTTTCAGTTAATACAGAAGCTCCAGATTCAACTATTGCTGCAGCTGTGCCACATCAACAGCTACTGTGTGTTGATATTACCTATTTATTACTTAGGTGCTTTTTGAGTTTTCATTTTGCACAAAGGGATAAGTCAGTCCTATAAAACCTTCTTTCCCTTCTTCCTCACTCCTTTACCCCCCTGCTTCAACTATTTTGTCAACCACTCCATAACTGAATGCAATGAAACAAGGAGGCACATGCTTCTTTGTTTCAGTCCTAACAAGACAGTTTCATTTATTGTGCACTCTATCTGCAAATGAAAATATAGGTCATTTCCAACCCTGCCTACAAAATCAGTAAGTCTTACTTCAGAGACAACGAAAATACAGTAACCCAGAAAAAGCCTGTGTGTCTTTCACAAAAAGCAGCAAAAGGTATCTTCAGACTCAATTAGTCTGATCTTAACCTCATGCTGAAAAGCAGAATAATTTCAAAGAATCAAATCATAAAAAATACACACATGCAGCTTTTCCCTTACATTAAGCTGTCCATATAAGCTTTCCACATATTAGAAATAACATACAGGGAAAGATTCTGAGCCTCAAAAATTAACTTTGGGAGTGTGGTAACAAAATACTTGTGGCATTTTAACACCATGTTTAAGAAGTAACACGGAGTTAAACAGGAAGTTTTTAGGACTTAACTCTTTAAACAATAGATCTGACACTATCCATGAAACACAGGGACAGAAATGTTCTTTCTCAGGAGGTGCTTTACAGAAACACTCCATCGCAGGAGCAGTATGTGCTACAAATCTAGTTTGGAAGATGCCACAAATAAAGTGCTCATTTGTCATAGTTCCACAGCAAGTACACAGTAGAACAAACTGACATAGACCCAAGTAAGACAGCTAAACCCACTGCAGTAATGTTCATTAACTTCACCAATTTGCTAGCTATAGTCCAAAATGTTATTTTCCTCAATCCTTGCAGTAAAACAAGAGCTTATATTTTTAAAGCCTGTTGTTTTGTCCTACTTCACCTCGAATTCTAACACCAATAAAGTCAGAAGACAATTTATCAGGTTTTCTGGATCATTTAGTTTTATGGTGATAATCTCCTGATCAATGAAGATAGAAGATGTGCAACGATCCTCACGTTATAGTTCACTATTCATCTAAAATAATGACGAGGAAAGAACTCACTTGCTGCTGTTGCTACCGGTTGGGCAATATTAGGAGGTGGCTTCAATTTCATGAGTTCATTAAGACTATTGTTCTTCAGCAGATCCTTCAGCTGGATCTGGTCCTTGGAAGGTGCAGTGGTGAGGGCGTTGCGCACGGCCGGGGCTGCAGCCGAGGGCCGAGTGCTCGTGCTGGTCTGAATGATTTTCGCCACGGTGATCGTCTGCCTTGTCGTCGTCACAGGGGTGGTTTTTGTCATCACTATGGTCGTCCCCAAGGTTGGAAGCTGATTTATTTGATTCAGCACAAAGGTTGTGGTGGATGGTGGTTGCTAGCAACAAAGAACCAGGGAAATTTTCAGAAGACAGTGAGGGGGAAAAGGCGACTTTATCAGCCCTTCACCTAGAGCACAGGAGTCACCAGTGTTTAAAAAGCTCTCACGGTAAGAAATGTCTTCACAGAACATGCTGAAGCTGCCAGAGCCATCACCTTGTGGTGCAACAGACTGAGCAAGAAATGTCTACAAATATTGTTGTAGGTTTTTGAATAGTATTTTTACATCTTATTTTTATGTAAGGGAGAAGGAAAAAAGCACAGGATGAAGGATTCATCACCTAAGCACAAAACATGACTACTACAGGTACAGTGACCCTGAGCTGAAGAGAATTCCTAATATATAAACTAGCTGCACAACTGTGAGAGAAAATAGCTTGGATTAAGGTGTACGTGCAGCCTTCCAGACACATTACACCACATCCACCTTCCAGCAGATCTGCTTTTTAGAGTCTCATTTCAGGTGCAACCACCACACTATGGTTCTCAGAATTACCTGCAGCTAGAAAATGTGGTAGACCGTTTGGCTGTATGAGATGACTTACACGAGTTCCCTATGCTCAGAATTTGCATGCAGCCTGTGGTGAAGCAGGTTGTGTGCCTAAAGCCCATTGAGATCCACGCAGGAGCAGATATCCACCTGCAGCTCGTGGAGGACCCCATGCCAGAGCAGGTGGATGTGCCCAGTTGGGAGCCTGTGACCCCGCAGAGGGGGCTCACGCAGGAGCAGGTTTTCTGGCAGGACCTGTGGCCACGCAGGGGATCCATGCTGGAGCAATCTGTTCCTGAAGGACTATGCTCAGTGGAAAGGACACATGCTGCAGCAGTTTGTGGAGAAAGGCAATGCATTGGAAGGACTCAGGTTGGAAAGTTAATGAAGGAGCTGCTGAAACAGTGAAAGAACATGAAGAGGAAGGAGCAACAAAGACAAGGTGTGATGATTTCAGGAGTGAAGCTGAGCCCAGGAAGTAGAGGAGTAGTGGGAAAGAGATTTTAAATTTGTCCTTATTTCTCAATATCCTACTCCATTGTTAACTGATAATAAATTAACTTCAAGTTGATTGTGTTTTGTCCATGACAGTAATTGCTGATCTCCCTGTCCTTTTCTTGACCCACGACCCTTTCATCCTATTTTTTCCTCCCCCCACCCAGCTGAGGAGGGGGAGCGACAGAGCAGCTTAGTGGGCACCTGGTGTCCAGCCAAGATTAACCCACCACACAAACACAAAATCCTGAAGCACCAGTTCTTACCCGAACATTTAATAAGGCTGGAGTTGATACAGTCTCTGGCTCTTGTTTCACAGCAGCTGTGGCCTCAGTCTCCAAGCCTAGTTCTAATGCACTAAGTGGCACTGACTGCAGAGGAAAGAAAGCAAGCATCAGGAAAGACATCAACAGCAAAAAAACCCTTAAGACTAAATATCCACCCACAAAATGAAGTTAATGGGGAAATCCTAAACTCTGCTCATTAACAAAGGTTTCACTGAAATCAACCACTTGATCATCGTTATTTTCATATTCAAAAAAGTTAAACATACTACACCATGGTAGTTAGCTGTGGTGAAAATATAGTTAGTTTTGTGATGTCACTGTTCAACATATTGCTGTGTGCAGTCTATGTCTGAAGAGGTTATGTTTTTGCAGATTGAGTGCTGTCATGGAGCTTAAACATCTGATTATATCACACTTCTTACACATTTTATAGGAGTGCAGCTAGACTCCAGTGGTATTAAGAGATTTCCATGGATACATGACAGCATGTCCCCATTCAATGTCCAGAAGTATATTTATGTTTATACTGACCTCCACAGTGTACTGCAAATTGGAAAAGTACTTGCTGACTCATTTTAAACTTTTACACAAAAACCCAATCTCAGTACTACAGAGCAAGAAATTGGTGAAAAGTCCACGTTCCTTAGTCATTTGCCATGGACACCATGTCCCCTCCCCAACACATCAAGTAAAAGCTCTTATGTCCTCTAGCAGAAAAGAGTCCTGTTTTAACCTGCTGAACAGCTGGAGCTGGTGCTGGGTTTGCAAGAACCACATCCGAAGAGTCAATATCAAACAGATCATTTGGACTGATTCCACTCTCACTCAAAGCAGCAAGCAACAGATCTTGTCCTGGCTCCACCATCTCTAAAAAATTAGAAGCATAAATACAAGTTACAATTAATTTTAATTTATTTTGTGTACACACACACTCACATTTAAATTCCCTTTCCTAGACTTAAGGGTGTATGTGACAGTCTCTTGTATACATACGGTTTCACTTTCTAGACTTGACCTTTTGTTCATTTGCAAATTTTTCCTTCCTTTTTTATTAAGATATTTTCAGTATACTCAAAACAATTAGAAGCAGGAAGAGCAAAATTAGCTTACCACACAAAATGCTACCATACCTGTAAACTTAAGAAAAAAAGATGTCTCTTCTAGTCTTTGTTGCACTACATTTAAGCATTACAAGAAATACCAAGAGACAGAAATGGTGATCCTGTATTATGCTAATGCTTGCTCCTTTGTCAGTGCAGCACACTTCAGGAGGGCAGCACAATTAAAACTCATTTAGTTTATCTCGTAACAAGTTAGTGATAAAAAGCTTATAAGGAAAGCTTTTATTTCTTGCTTGCCATAATATTAGGTAGTAATCCATTCAGTGGAAAAATTGTTTTGCACAGAGTAAAGAACAAATATTCCACTATTATAGCATGTTAACTACATATTAAATAGGACACTAACATCAGGTCAGACTCCTTTACGTGTAGGACAAGCAAAATTAATTTCAAAAAGCTATTCCAGACAGTGTAAAAACTTAAAAAAGCCAAATACTCTGTTTTAAGATGAAAAGGAAAGATAACATGCTTTGCTTCCTTAAGAAGGAAGCTCATTTGCCCAAGTACTAAGACAAAAAAAAGAGTTCACATAACTCGAGCTGTCACTTAAATATTCTTAAATACACCTCAAGTAGAAGTTAATTTGACTTCTCTCCACACTCCCTGTGACACCCACTGGTAACAGAACATCAAAAACTAACCAAGCGAAACACCTACTCTAAAACAGATAGGACCAAAATATTTATTGGCATTTCAGATACACTCACTCAGAGTCCAAAACTGCACCCACTTCCTTGTCCTTCTCTACACGTACAGCTCAGCCACCTCCAGCTGGTTGGTCACACATAACTTAGCACATTTGGCAGAACAGGTAATTCTTGTAATAAGCGAGGCCTCTGGCACTTCATTCTTATTCTTCCTAACTTTACTCTGTCCAACAGTGGGGAGAAGAATAGTGCACTAACACTGAGATGGTGGCACTGCTGCACTGGTGGACATAAGGTACTGTGGTAAGAGGGAGATGTACTTTTAAGCATCAAAGATTACCCAAAAGAACACAAGAGTAATGGGTGGAACTGCCACCGATCACACACACAATCCCACTAAACACCACTTCCTTTGTCAGAACTAGAATCCACTTGTTTTTAAAAAAAGGCATTTGAGGTGATCAGATGAACTGGCAGAATGGCCTAGATTGTAGTTATAGGGTATAGAATATTAAGACATTGAGCAGATTTAATTAACATGGCAGTTCCTTCAGAGGACATCACCTCCCACTAATCTTGCCTCCTAGAACCTTGAATGGGTCAAGAAAACTGAATAAAACCAGTTAACTTTACTTTTCAGAAAGATTAAGCCTTTCATCTCAAAAAAGGGGACTACACATATATATTAATTAGGTAGGATAAACCCTTAATTTTGATCAGGCTAAAATACTAAGAAATCATCCTATCTAAGCATTGTTAATCTGATCTTACAGTATTGTTTTCTAACTAGAAACAGGTGAAAGCAGAAAGATGAAGCCTGTGGATGAAAATTTAGTTCATCAGTACTTTTGGTGTTAGGAACTCCCACGCAGCCACTGAAGTTAAATTTCTCCACAGAACAGGAATTAACAGCAGCTACCCTATCAAACTAGAAGCTCCAAAACACTTTATATTGCAATTTTACCCTGTCAACTCAGGAAAGAGGCATAAGCACTCTTCCATGTAGTACAACAACTTTGTTCAACATGGTCCAATAAAAATGTCTTAATGTACAAAGAAAAAAATGTCAGTTATGTCACAATTTCACCTGCCTGTACTTTTGATCATGCCATGTCTAGATCACACCATCTCTTCAAGTTTTAAGACTAAAACCTGGGTTAGAGATAAGCAGCTAACGGAAAGTCAAAGTGTAGGGCTTTTCACTTAGCAGAGAACTAGGGCAAAAAAAAAATTACTCAAAGCAATTTTTAGTCCACTCTTGCAATACACCAAGAAAAGGCCTTTCTATGAAGCTGAGACTAAAAGCAAAACCAAGGCTAGAGAGAATGACAGTGCCACTAGACTAAAACTTGGGTTAGAGATAAGCAGCTATACTGAAGAGAGGCACGGAAAGTCAAAGTGTAGGGCTTTTCACTTAGCAGAGAACTAGGGCAAAAAAAATTACTCAAGGCAATTTTTAGTCCACTCTTGCAATACACCAAGGAAAGGCCTTTCTATGAAGCTGAGACTAAAAGCAAAACCAAGGCTAGAGAGAATGACAGTGCCACTACCACACAAATGCCCTGCCAACGACCCAGCAGGTCCCTCTCAAGCCAAGGTTAAAGTTTCAACACTACACAGAACCTGACATTTTTAACCTTTAAAACACAACTGCTTGAATATCTTAATACAGTTTCACCAAGCTCCAAAAAAAACATACGTAGTCCTAATACTCTTAATTGCTTACTACAAAGCTTTTACTAGATGACTTGTGCTACAGACGAGTACAGCAATTCCTACAGTCCCAGAACCAGTGTCTCCAGTTGAAAGGGATCCCTTTCCCAGCAGGGCTGTGCCCACGTGAGCAATCTCCCAGCTGCAGCTCTCTCATCCTAACCCCAATTTTAACGGTCTTAAAAAATTAGTGGTTGCTAACGATCCAGCAAAAGGCAAAGTAGAACAGCAGCAATTGTTTATTTGTCTGTCGGACAGTTTGGACAATGAAAGTTTGACTAGTTTCACTTATTTTGTTTCTGTACACTGGGGACAAAGCTGCATTGTTTGAGACTGGAACAAAAGGAATTCTGAACTTCTAGAATTTTTACATTAAATGCCACTGAATACTTAGCACTAGTTTTAGGCTTTGTGAAACTTCCAAGCACCAGTGCTGTCCCCCCACCCCCAGTTTTAACTTAGTAAGGAAATTAAATGGGAAAAAAAAACAAAACAAAAAAACAGAAAAAAAAAAACAGAGGCTGCACTGTGATAGCTTAGTTTATTTTTTGTAACATATGCTAGTAAAGCCCAAAATGTTATCATGATGAAACAGCTCCATAATCTTACAAGGTAGGAGGTTTTTTAGTTAACATGAGAGAAAGTGACTTTATCAAGCTCTGCAACTCAGCTTTGGCAATACTATATAAGGACCTGTTCGCCACATCTTAAAAATCTCCAGAAGAAAATACTTATAAAAAAGTTGTGAATATTACAAGCTGTTCCCTGAGCATTTCACCAGTAGAAGAACTGTTCTGGGAATGCAGAATCTTGCAGATAAGGTTGTCTATGTTTAGTCAAGCTGTCCACTGTCCCTGAGCAATAATCAGCCTGCTATATAAAACTAAAAAAAAAAAAAAAAAATTGATAAAATTCAACAACAGTAGTATCTCCATTACTTTCTTCATATTAAGCAAAAATGTAAACTGCTGCCATTCCAAGAAGGGCTAACAAAAAACATCAAGCATTTTTGTAAGCATTCTTTTGCTGAAGAATATAGCCCAAAACTTAGATAAAAAGACAGTTTTGTTACCACTGCACATTATGTAAATAATTTCAGATTTAAAGACACCAAACCAGAATGCTGTCTTTGATATTATGTCACGTATCCATGCCAACCTGACTTTCTCCCTCCCTCCATTTTAGCTTTGCTACAAAGCAGCAAAACAACAACAACAGAAAAGATTTTAAAACATATGTCAAGCAAACTGGTCTCCATTTCCCCAAAATAAAATAATGGTAAAGTCCTAAACAATGAAAAGGCTTTGGACTTCTGGGTCTGAGTTACGTGCTGTAACACTATATACTTCAACTACTAATTTAAAACATCTTAATCAACTCTAACACCACTAAAGTGATATACAGCCCAGATCAAACCCTGCACAGCTATTTTCAGGCCTTTCAGACATGTGGCCTCTGTGACAGACCCAACCTGCAAACTTTGGTTTTAATACTTGGCCTGGGTCTAACTCTTGCTCCTCTTTTAGTGGAATGTGTTTTCCAAGGAATACAAGTCACCTGAAGTACACTGGAAGCCATTTAAAAGATCACACAAATTCTGAAGTTAGAGACAAAAATATGCACATGTCTTCTCAATTTTCTGGCTCTCTAAACTATGAACTATTATCAACCTAAACATTTCAGATCTCCATTTGCAGCCTCTTACAACAGAGGTGTAAGGGCTGCTAATCCCCAGTCCCACCCAAGATTCTCTAGATATCCAGATGGGTCCTGCTCATCTCCCAGCTTCTGGCTCCAGAAGGCAATCTGGGTAACAACAACAAAAAAAGAAAAAAAAAAAAATCACCCAAACCAATCCCTTCTGGTCCTTTCCAAGTCACCATCCAATCTAAGAACAAAATGCTAATTACTGAACTCACCCACCCTCACATGCTTTAACCTCAAGACTGGTTGTTAATGCTGCATTTAAATGTACAAAATAAGTTTTTGATTTTTTGTGAAAATGATTTCAATCCTGTAAAAACTGTACCAGATTTTCAAACACTGGTTAGCTCCCTGAAGTCAAATTTTGTAAGGATATGAGATCCAGTTTGGGACACTATGGGATTCAACTCTGCCTCAAAGCTCCCTTATGACTCATGAAATTTACAGTAGTCAGGTCTGAAAAAGAGAAACTCAGAACTTTTTTAAGATGTTCAGAGACTAAACAAGGCAATGATTTGGCACAAAATCAGCTTTCAGGCTAAATGGTTGGAGGTGATATTTTATCCAGCAGTGCAAGTTTTAAAGAAGTAAAAAACCCAAGAGAGATAAGGGCAGTTATCTGAGCAGCAGAACCCTTCCTTAGTTTTGGCCTAGGAGTCAGTTCTAGGCACATCTCAAGG